CTGCTGATCTAGCAGTAGCCTGCAGTGCTGCATTTAACCACTGCGCCACCTTGGCTCTTCCCAGCTAGCTTCCAACAAGCAAAGTGAAGTGGGGAAGCTGGGTCTGCTTAACCGCAACTTCAGCCACATGGGTCATTTAACAATCGAGTGATTTGCTTAACAACTCTGGTGATTTGCTTAATGACCTGGTAAAAAGGCTTCTACAATCAGGTTGATGATATGATGACTCACTTATTGATCACATTGCTTTGCAACTAAAATTCTGGTTCCAATTGTGGTCTTAAATTGAGAATTGCGTGTATTACCACTCTCAACCATTTCCAGTTATACTCTGCTGGGTTGTGCCCTAATTAAGGTTAAAAGAGTCTGTGCCAAAAAGGGCTGTATGAATCCTTCCAAAGAGGTGCTTCCCAATGCATGAATCTGGTAATGAATTCTTGAATCTTTAAAGCAACCTTGTCTTTTTCAGAGTTGAACATCTGATTTTGGAACTGTTCATTGCAGTTTTCTGCAAGACCATGTATTGTGCCTTGCAATGGTCCCAAATATTGTGGCCCAGAGCTGGCAGTAGAGTCGGGCAGTGAGGAGGTTGGGGAGGACCATGGGCCAGTCCTGGGGGTTGAGGAAAGTTCAGACGAGGGCTTTGCATCGGAGGCAGAGAGGGTGGTAGATAGCAGTGAAGCAGAAGAACAGCTGGAGCCTGTTCCAGTGTACACATGCGTGGAGCTGCCAGAAGACAAGAACAATTAAGAAAGCAGGGTCGACTTAGGAGTAAACACCTTGGAGGTGATTGGTCCCTCCCATCAGAAACAAAAGAAGAATGAATGAGGAGTGGACTTTTGCAGGAAACTATTAGTTAATCCACTCAGTTCAAGAGTGGAAAGTTCTGTTTGTGACTTTAAGAGCCTCTGTGCCAAGTTTGCCATGCCTTGGAAACTAGTTATCTGGCAGCGCTCCAAGCGAGATAAGGTGCATGTGGATAAACATTCCTCTGAAAGACTGTTTTACTAAGCCTTGCTGACTGTGAATGAAAGGAATTCACAGTCGTGTAAATAAAAGATGTTTTGTAGGGACTGTGATGATTTAATAAAGAAAGGCAGCAAGGAGCTTAAACCAGAGGCTTGTCTTTACTCAGCAGCAGCCATCTTAAAACTACTTCCTGCCCCCAGATCACATGGCTAGAAATGTTAACTGTTTCCTAACATGCATAAAGAAGTGAGCATAACAAATGTACTTAAGATATAACATAAAACATACACATCATTACTCTGCTTCTTGCTTTCTAAGGAAGCCTGTGTTAGAACGCCAAAGAAGGCAGAAGGATGGAAGCAGTATTGCACCCTTACGATGCAAGTCCATTCCCCTTTGTATGTATGTATGTATGTATGTATGTATGTATGTATGTATGTATGTATGTATGTATGTNGGAGACCCTATACCATTTCAGACAAATGGTTGTCCAATCTCTTCTTAAAAACTTCCAGTGTTGGGATTTTTGATTTTGGGGGGGGAGGGAATGGAGGTCAAACCATTTGCCCACCAAATGAGAGGAGTGGACTCACTGAAAAAAAGATTCTGATGTTGGGGAAGATGGAAGGCAGAAGGAGACGGGGACAGTGGAGGATGAGATGGTTAGACAGCGTCATCGGTGCAGTGGGCACAGATCTGGGCAGGAGACAGCGGAGGGCAGGGGAGCCTGGCATGCTATGGCCCAGGGGCTTGCCAAGTCCCTTAGCGATGGAATAATAACAACCAGGAAAAAAATAAAATAAAGGCTGACTGTTCTCCTGAGGTGATGATCAGCAAGAGCAGCTCCCTCTAAGAGGGAGGGGGTGGGAACCTGTGATTAATATGTATGCCAACGATTAAAGAAATAACTGGAATTTCCTTGCACCCACTTAATGCATATACATACCCAACGAGGTAACAAAATGTTCATGCGCGTTAAGAGTCTTCATGCATCTTTTGTTCTTGTAGTCCCAGACACGTAAGGTCTTGTCATCGGCACAGCTCAAAATAAATTTACCACCAGAGTGGAACAGGACACCACGTACCCAGTTATCATGGCCCACCTTTTAAGTGAAAATAGAAAAAGCCCAAAATCACAAGCAGATCACCGATGGGACATCTGGGTAGGAAGAACACAAATCTGAAATCCAGAGTTCAGATCGTGTTGCTCCTTGCCCCAAAATTGGCTCTAGGCTAGAATTAACAGCACGCTGAGCTTCTTGGGTGGAAATGGTAACCTGTTTTTCTGTTCTTCCTTCAAGCTCTCCCAATTCTATTTATTCTGATGTGTGCACTTGGATTCCTCAGAGAATGCCTGAGCTCACCCCGTAAGAGGCGCAAATCTATTCCCTCGTGTAGCAACTAGGCAGAGTTGCAAAGCAGATGAACAGAGCAAAGGATATTCAGGGAACTTACAAGAGTCATAAGGCACATGCCAGTACTAATGTCCCACATCTTAATGGTCTTGTCTCTAGATCCAGAAAGCAGGAAAGGCCCAGGCTTACCACTCTTCTTAGTCTGTAGGGGAAGGAAGAAAAAAAAAGAATTATTTTGTAAAAATTAAGTAATTCTGTATGAAGTAAGTCAACAATGTGGAGACTTATGTGAAGCTCAAAATGTTTTTCCCTTCCAGATATCCAGGATGAATACAACTTGAATGCAGAAACAGCAAAGAGTTACGCACACAGAAATTTTGAGTAAGACAAAGTTACTGTAAATTAGATGTCATTGCAGATTGTGTTGAAAGCATAAGGAGGTTTGTTCTTTGGTGNTTGGAAGGGCAGCATCTTCACCACTACCTCCACCACGCTGCTCAGGCAGGATCATTATATTAATGGTGGGATGAGGAGGAGGATCACCACCATCACCTTCTCCAAAGGCCTCAGATGTGCTCTTTGGTGCAGAAGAATCAAATTTCAGCAGCCCAGATAGGGAAGGCACAGATGGGCTGAATTTCCCACCCTAAAGAGGAAGTCAAAGTTGATGCCCGATGCCAAAGGTGGCATTCTGGATCCCCTCAACTCTGGCCTCTCACGGAGGGTGGTGTGTAAATAAAAATGACAGCAGTGGGTGAAGAGGAGCGCCACTCCTGATGGCAAGGAAGTGCGTGCAACCCAAACTCATTCAGCTGCCCGCCCGTCCCAAGCCTCATCATTATCTCCCCTCCATTAACACAACCACATGGCTTCTCAGCTCAGATCAATATTGACGCTCAAGACCATTTTACATCTGCTTTTCCCCCTTAACAGCAAGCACGGATGGCAAGCCGTAAGCTCATCCAATCTTTTTCTGCACCTAAACAAAAGAGAAACACGTTTAGTTTTATATTCATTTAATAGTTTACCAATTGGTACAATAAGATTTTTGTTTTAATAGGCAGAAAACATGAATAAATTTTGTTTTACACAGTCTGAGAGCAACAAATCTTACTGTAAAACACAGAGCAGTATTATATACATTCCTTTACTGATTTTTTTTTTCTTAAATTTTAATCGTGTCAATATCTTCAGTTAACTCCTACATTCGGGGGTGGGGTGGGGTGAGGAGAAACATTTTCCAATAGCAATTTCTACATCGCTCTTACTGGATTGAAAAAAAAAAAGAGAGAGGGAGAAAGACTTGTGTCTTGTCAGTGTCAGGATCAAACTTCTAAAACGTGGACAATTTTTTGCTAATTACTTCCAGAAAGAACTTTGGAAAAATTCAAAGGCTGTGCTTAGGACAAGAAAGCAGTTACAAGGACAGAGAGAGAGAGAAAAGAAGGAAGGGGAAACCGACTTAATATTCAGTTGTGACTTGTTAAATCCAGTTCCACATTTTTTTTTAAAAATCAACCTTATCCTATTTCCTCCCCGATCACTTCGGCTAACTTTATACACCATCATCAAGAGAGATTTATAGTAGCTAGTACCGTGGGGATATTTTTTTAAAAATACATTAACTCTGAAATCATAAATGGAGGTGTCGTTTTTTTCTCTCTCAAATTCGGTCCATTTTACATTCTCAAATGCATTTCAGGATTTTTTCTCTCTCAAATTCGGTCCATTTTACATTCTCAAATGCATTTCAGGATTTTTTCTCTCTCAAATTCGGTCCATTTTACATTCTCAAATGCATTTCAGGATTTTTT